AACTAATGTTGAACTCCGTAACCTTGCAATTTTGAACCCAATCCAGGTGCGGTATTCGTATCGATCAGACATCGCTGCGATTCGAACCCGAGTCACCTCATTTCAAGGTGAACGCTCAATCCCCTAAACCACCACTGCTCAGTATAAGTTCATTTTATTTTATAATCGTCGTTGAATAGTCGACCCTTTTTTGGGGGGTTTAAGACTAATAATGTTCAACTCCGTAGCCTTGTAATTTTGAACCCAATTCAGAAGACAAGGGAACTCCTAGATCGAATATTGGGAGAAATTTTGCCTTCATGGAGGACTTTTTGGTGGAGCTAACCAGCATTTGCGTTACATGGAGAGGAAGACCACGAGAACCTCCCACGGTTAGCCTGACGGCACGGTAACCTTTTTTGGGTTTAAGACTAATAATGTTCAACTCCGTAGCCTTGTAATTTTGAACCCCAATCCAGAAGACAAGGGAATTCCTGGATCAAGTATTGAGAGAAATTTGCCTTCGTAGAGGACTTTTTAATGGACTTAGCCTGCATTTGCCTTACATGGAGAGGAAGACCACGAAGGAATATATATTAAATTAATGTTCTGAAATAGATATTTTTTCCTTTCTCTAGCTAATGCAGAAGTAGTACACGAAATTTTTGCTAGACGTTTAAAAACTGACACAATTAACAGTACAGGATTGTTCGGCTGATGAAGAAATGCTGAATGGATTCACAATATGCTTAGTTTTGAGAACGATAAAAGCAATTCAAAACAATTTTTTTCTTTTTCTTTTTTTAGAAAGACGAGCACAAACAAAAATTCAAATAGACATTCCTTTAAGATGGGGATAAAGCGTTAAGTTTTACGGAGAAAATAATATCACTGATAAATTTTCGGATTTGTGTTACTTGCGGTTAAAACATTTCTTCGAAAAAAGCTTGTTTTCAGGAGATAATTCTTAAGTGCTTTTCCTCTTGACTCTGGAGCAATCACTCTCCTGTTATATTTCCAATTATGTATACAGACACGAGAGGTCCTTTCTCATCCATCATAGCACTGATAAGTCTTCTCACACCCCACCCCCCTTATACAAATATGATTAATAAAGCAGAAAATAGGGAGAGAAGATAAGACGTTGAGTGTGAAATTGAGTGGGAATTAAGGAGGTCTTATCTGGTTCGAACGTTCGTGAACAGATTCTTAAAAAGACAAAATAGAATCATTTGAGGAGTTGATGGACAGGTAGCGAAATGTGGGATGATTTCACACTCACTACCTGATAACTTTTTCGCCTTTTAATTTATTTATTTAATGCCAAAAATACAGTCGGACCTCGCTATAGGGAACCATCCGCACAACCAGCAATAGGAAAACAATGGTTCAGTATAACGAAAAAAATTATTTTTTAGCGAATTACGGGTAGAATTGTCAGAGGAATTATATAATTTGCATCATAATTTATAAACTAACTAAAATATGTAGAATGTCTCTACAACTAACAGCGAATTTCTTCCTATAACGAAATTTTTATTCGAAACGTCAAGTAACAATCAGAATATTCTCGTTATAGCGAAGTGGATGTCATCCTATAATGAATATTTTAGACGTTTATCTTTTCAATTTCTGCTTGTGTGGCCAAAAAGTACAGTCGGATCTCGCTATAGGGAACCATCCGCACCTTCAGCAATAGGTAAATAATGGTTCAGTATATCGAAAAAAAAAAATTTTTTTTTAACGAATTATGGGTAGAATTGTCAGAAAAAGTACATAATTCTTCGTAAATTATAAACTAACTGAAATGTGTAGAATCACTACAATATATTTTTCTAACAGTGAATTTCTTCCAATAACGAAATTTTTATTCGAAACGTTAAGTAGCAATCAAAATATTCTCGTTATAGCGAAGTCGATGTCACCCTATAACGAATATTTTAGACGTTTATCTTTTCAATTTATGCTTGTGTGGCTAAAAAGTACAGTCGGACCCAGCAATGGATTAACAATGGTTCAGTAAATCGAAAAAATATTAGTTAGGGAATTACGGGTAGGATTGTCAGAAGAAGTACATAGTTTGCATCAAAAATTATAAACTTACTAAAATATGTATAATCACACTAAAAAATATTTTTTTAACAGAGAATTTCTTCCTATAACGAAATTTTTGTGTTCTGTTGCGTCACCAAAGAAAGCATTAAAATTAGCCAATTGTTACGCCAAACTTGGCTAATTGTGCGACAAAGGCCAATTGTGTTTTTTTTTTTCGTTTCAAATTTTGCTTTAATATCAGTTCCTTGATATATATTTTTTTTGTTACGAAATATGCGTAATCGATTGATAGAGCATTACATTTGCATCTGGTGTTTTCGCAAAAAAGGGAGGATTTAACATTACCCTCTTTTCAGAGCTACAAATATATCAACAATGTCAACAATGACATCGTCGCTATTGTAAATGTCCGAAATATTTGTTATATCCGATTTGATATTAATTTATTCGTTAATATCATTATATTTATTCGATATTTTAAGATCTGCTGAGGATAAATTAAGAGAAACATCAGTGTAGGATATACCGGACAAATGTATACCGGACAGTGGCACTTAGCTAGACCTAGTATACATTTCGGACGTTTACCAAAGTGACTATGGGATTGTCAACATTCACCAACATTCAACATTCTTATGTTTACATTATTGATTTTCGACATTGTAAATAATAGGCCTTGCTAAATTTTCTACAACTAAATATATATATATA